AAGGGACAGCTGATCTGGTACCTTGGGCTACTAGCTCCCGTTTGAGGGACATAGGAGTTGGGCTCAGAGGATTACCCAGAAGCTCTATCAAGAAGACAGAAGCTAGAAGCCTGCACCCATCAGAGTAAAGACTTTGGCGTTTTAGGCAGGGGGAGGGGCGGCAGGCAGACACAACAATCTTAAGCACAGCTTTGTTATTAATTAAGCAGCAACCCTTAAACCACCCCCCGCCACCAAAAGCACAAAGTAGCAGTCTCATTTTTACACTATAACCTGCAGAAGCTAAATGCCCCAAGTTGGAATTGCTTTCATTGGAGTACAGGCCATAAAAAGACCTTTTTTCCCCCCCAACCAATCTTGTTTCTTTTGTTTACAGGAAGAAGAGGGAAGGACGCAGGAAAAATACTTTTGTACATGGATCTTTTGCCTTTGGAACCAAAGATCTGAATCTTGGGACCCAGAAACATATCCCCTACACAGATCCCACTGCCCCCCATATTAGCAGAGTTCAGTGTACGTACTGTCACCAAAGTCACTCACTTTCTTCTATCACGTCCAGGTATGAACGGAGGGTCAACCACGGTCACCATCCGCCTTTTAAAATGAATCACTCCTTTTTGGAACCAGTGACAAATCAAGAGAACAGGCTGGTCCAGAAAGCAGTTTACATTACCTCCCACCAAGGGTAGCGTTCCTGCTTTCTCGCTCGTGCTAGCTATGGGGTGTGGGTTTGCTTTCTCCCCGCAGAGAACCATGTTCTCCCTCCCATGTTAGATTCATCCATCTGGATTGGAGGAAACGGATTTCAGATGATTGCACAGGCAGGCGGCAAACCAAAAGACAGACTCACAAGCCCTGAGGTTAACTTAGGGCCCCCTCCATTACTTAGAAAGATGGCCCCAACTATGTGTGGTCCTAAGGCAAACTTTTAAAGGCAGCCACGGACAAGAGAGGGAGAATTTCTCCCTAGGGGAGAAATTTCACACTAGGGGAGGGAAGGGAGGACAAAGGAAGAGGCTTCCTACGGTAACATTTCTGAAAGAGTGTTCCTGTAGAAATTGGGCTCATGAATGCTCCCATGGGGGAGGGGAGAACTCCCTAATTCATCATGCCCGTCCTAAAAGGCTTTATTACCAACAGTCCACAAGTACTACTTACCCACCCTCTCCAAACAGAGTCCCAGTGAAAATCAGCATGGTAAAGGTTCTGACAAGTTCCCCAGAGAAGGAAACTATTTTGTGCAAAGGACTATGGAAACACCGTAACTAAGAACTCACCTGCTTCAGAGTTGTGCTGTCCTCTAAGGCAGTATTAGCTGTTGGTTACTGAGCACCTGGAATGTGCTCGTCCAAACTGACACGGGCTCCAGGTGAAAAATGCACACTGGTTGTCCAAGGCTTAGTCCAGAAATGTAAAAGTATCTTGGCTTTTTATATGGATTAAACTTTCAAATGTATTTTGGATAGGAAATTAAACAAAAATGTATTGAAATTAATTTTGCCTGTTTATACTTTAGTATGGTTACGAGGACATTTAAAATCACCTCTGTGGCTCACATTGTATTTCTACTGGATAGTGCTCCTTTTAGAAAACACTCAGAGCACAGGCTTGGCAACCCCAGGTATATCCATCTTGGCAATTGCGCCACACTTGTTCGTTCCCTTCAAAGAACGTACGTAGTCCACCCCAGACTTCAGGAATGGATAAAAACAGCTGAAAACAACATTCTGACCAGGATGCCTAAGCTAGCCCACCTAGGAATATGTAATTCCAAAGGAATGACAGATAGGTTTCCTTTTTTTGTCTATCACCCGAGATAGTTATAGAAGGACGGCATGGTTTCACTTTGCCTTTCCCTCCAGGGCTCTATCTGAGAAGGTATTCCTGAATATCATGCTGAAGTCTGATTATGGTTAGAGTTTGGGAAATGAAAGAAATATGTGCATCCCGTACAGGTGAAGACAAAAGTTACTGCAAAGACTTGCCCACAAGGAAGGCTGTTCAAAGCCCCCTGGATGATGTATCTTCTGTCCTCTAGTAGATTCTGTTTTCACTCACTCCATGACTTTGGATGAACCCATTTCCTGGGAATGGGTAACTGGTGCTTTTCAAAGTATACACAGAGACTGCATCATTTACTATCTATTACCCTCGTCAACTCCTGAAAGGGAGTTATTAAAACATGACCAGGGAAGGACTAGTAGTGTGAAGGAACAAGTAGCCTGCTTTGTGGATCAGCTTCCTTAGTTATAAAATCGAAGTCACAACACCCACCTTACAAAGGAACTGGATGACCAAACAGGGGAAAGCCTAAATGCCCAGCATGCTGCGTGGCACGGAGGTAAAAACAACTTCCCTGGAGACTCTGCTCTGCGGGCTTTCAGTCATCTGTGCCTTAGAGGTAGAAGACACTGGACCTAAAGCTCTAGATTTAAAATTGAGAGGCTAACAAAAATAAAGATAAAAACAAAACTGAGAGCGTATATATGGTCAGGTGTTATATGACAGGAAGTGGGCTTTCCTCTTTCTGGATTTTCTCCTCAGAAATGGTAGCTCGTTAATACTAAGTTTCACGGTTAAGTGGCTTGTGCGTCCAGTTTCCTGGCATCTGAAGGAGAGCAGGCTGGGAATACGTGCACAGAGGGGCCAGTGAAGAGTTTCTCCGGGTCCCCAGGGATCTGCCCTGCTCGGGCAGTGACTGTGCCCCACAGGAATGGCTGCACTGCAACTTTCCCGCCCAGTTCCCGTGCCTGGCCCACCTTCAGAGCCGCCAATAAAATCACTTGCTGTCATTAAAGACCTAGGTCTCTCCTTCTTCAGACCAGACATCTCCATTTGTAAAACACAGGATGTTTTCTCCCCTTATCAAACCAATGGTCTCTTTCCTTTCTCAGTTCTGGATAATTTCTCTACGTCCAATCATTCTGTCAGCCTGATGGAGGGAACTGAAGGAAGCAATTTTCATATCTGGAATTGTACCTTATTCTTAGTCTCTGAGTAGCTGAATCTGCTGTTATAATGCCCAAAGTGGCCTAAGTAATGCCAGGCCTGTATACTCTTGGACTAAAGTATGCAACAAAGAGAGAAACGTTTCCAACAGTCAAGTTCTTGGATGGGTTTCAAATCGATCACAGGTCACAAAAAACTTAGTCATTGACTGTTTAGGCCCAAGCAAGTCGGAAAACATCAGTATTTCTAAATGTCTCTGTAAATCAAGTCCATTATCAAGTCATCTACCTCAGTGTTAAGCGGCTGTGGGGTTTAAAGGAGGTCACAAGTCTACATCACCCAGAATGCCAATCTGTGCAACAAGGCATGTGAGGGAGACACTGAACCTCTTAGCTCTTGGCACAACTAGACAGACAGGTGCCCCGGGTCCAACACCTTCAGGCAGCAAGCTCCCTCCACTCTTCAGGCCCCAAATCCTCTTCTTGTTAAACCCCAATTTAAGGGCATTCATACGTGCAAGCCCAAGGCTACCAGAAACTCTGAATGGAAAAGTCATCCATGATCTTCCCCAAGCTTCCCAAACAAAAGTGACCAGTTTCTCCTGTGTACCCCAACACACCCCCTCTATGCCCCATCATAACACAGATCCAATGCATCACATTTCTCTCTTTTGCCCACCGAACTGTGTTCCTTGGACCTCCAGGGCCTATCACATAATACTTAATTGTAATAGATATAGGAACTTCTAACCAACTAGAATCATGCTCCTCAAACCATGCACAATTGAGCCAGGATTATGTAAAGCCACAAAATAAACAAGGTGCATCTTCCAAGGGATCAAGCCTAAAGCTTTTCCTTAAGATACTCTAAGAGGGGCGCCTGGGTGGCTCAGTTGGTTAAGCGACTGCCTTCGGCTCGGGTCATGATCCTGGAGTTCCGGGATTGAGTCCCGCATCGGGCTTCCTGCTCGGCGGGGAGTCTGCTTCTCCCTCTGACCCTCTTTCCCTCTCGTGCTTTCTATCTCTCATTCTCTCTCTCAAATAAATTAAAAAATCTTAAAAAAAAAAAAAAAGATACTCTAAGAAAGAAGAATACCCACACAGAGTTTAAAAAACCCGGTAGTAGTCCTGCAGAAGGCTGGCAGCTTCCAAACTCAGGGCTACACCCCACCCTGCCAGGTTTGTTTCCCATCCTTTCCGTCAGAGGTCCCCCCCACTCAACGCTGGAAAACCCAAGTTCTGGCCTTCACGTGTGCCCTACTTTTTGAGAGGCTTGAAAGGACTGTCACCTCTCTCCCCCTCCTGCTTGTGCACTCCTGCGCTACCTCTAAAATAAACAAATCTTAAAAAAAAAACAAAACAAAACTTTGTTAGGGCTCAAAGGTCACCAACACCACTTTCTAGGTGAAAAAAAACCACAGGCTCATTTTGCCAAAATGACTCAAAGTTAAAGCAGAAGCCAGGAAAAGAGCTCTCTTCAATTACTGGCCCAGAACATCACATGATAAAGCCTGTAAGGCGGCATTATATTTTTTAAAAGGCTAAAATAAAGGACTACAGCTTGTTTAGGTCCAGAGACCCTTTGGAGCGCCATCAAAGCAAGCCTCCTCTCAAGCCTCTTTGCTTTGCTTGGCTGCCTCAGCCGTAAACCCTTAATGTAGAGTTCTAGATAAATACTCACCAGAAGCACCTCTCCGGGGTTCTTCCTTGCGGAAGGTTTAGTTGCATACCTGAGGCCTCTTGAAGGTTGGCACTCCAGCTCCACCTCCCCTCCCGAGAGGGACTTCCGTACTCCCCTGAAGGGCCCCCAACAGCCCAGAACTTTCTAAACTTTTCTCCACCCCTGGCAGCGGGGCCAACGCTGTCCCAAAGAAAGAGCCGAGTGGCAGGACAAACATCTTAAGAGGGAAGCAGGATTGAAGAACCAGCGCTCTCCTCCTACAAGTGCGTTCCCGGGCCGCAGCCAAGACTCTGGCGGGAGGACAGACAGACACACACACACACGCACACGCACACACACGTCCCCAGCCCGGAATCCAGGTCCGCACTCACCTTGGCCGACGTCTCTCCGAACAGAGGTCTGTTGTCCAGGCCACTGGTGCCATAGGTCCTGGTGGAAAAGTCCTCCATGTTAGGGTTTTTTCACTCTCGCAGGCCACTCAAACCTGAGCCAGCGTTACCTCTCGAAGCGTCAGCTCCACGACTGCCCACGCCGCGTATTCACCGAGAGCTCATGGCCGAAAGCGCAGGGGGGTCGGGGCCGTCCCCGCGGCGGCTGCGGCGGCGCGTGGGCGCTCACGCCCGCGGGACGCGGCCGCTGCGCCCGAAGCCCGCCGCCCTCCTCATAGCGAGCAGCTGCTGCAGGAAGTGAAAGGAAACACACCGCGTGGCCGACTCTCCTCGGGACGCCCAGCCCGCGCGGCTCCCACTTCCCTAAATCTCAGCGCTCAGCCCCGCCGGGCGCTGCGCCTCGCACGGCAGATCCGCGACCTCGCGCCCCCGGGGGTCCCCACGATTCCCACCCCTCACCACCGCGTTTCTTCACACGATAGTTTCCCAAGCTTTCTCAATCTCCTGTTCAGCACCAATGCCTCCACGCTCCAGAAGGAGAAGGGGCTCCAGTGAAGATTTCATGACAAGCCCCTCACCAAGCCCTCTGCACCTCTCCACCCCAGTTTTCGAGCGGCGGGAAAAGTGAAGTTGCCCAAGCCGAGCGCTCCGCGGGCCTCTCCCCCAGCGCTGCAGCTGCACGTCGCAGCCGCGGCCGCGCCAGGCACTTCGGATCCCCTTTCATTTGCCGCATCCACCCGCGGCCCGTCGCGCTCTCCGCAGCTCCCCTCGGCTCTCTCCTGCAGGCGCCGCGGCTGGGGCACCGGCCGGGTCAGAGCTAGCGGAAGAGAAAATCCCGCCGCGGTCGCGCACAGATTGGCCACCCTCCCGGGAACCGCCCCGCGCCCGCAGGCCAAACCTCGGCGTCCCCTTCCGCCCTCACGCTGGGGAGTCGTGGCCGCGCGGGGCTCCGCTGCTCCCGGGCTCACACACCCGCCGGGATCCCTTGCCAAGACTCTGCGGCGCGGGCGAGGCGCGCGGAGAAGGAAGAAACCTTCCGGGCTGGCGAAGAGCGGGCCCGAGGGCCGAGCGCTGGGCGGCGGATCCCCGCTGCTCGGCTCCCCCGTCCGGGAGCCGCGGCCTCTGTCGCAAACCGACTTGGCCCGCCCAGGCGACGTCACCGCCGGGGCAGCCAATCCCGCGGGCCGAGGCGCCGCATTGGCTGCGGAGCTTTATTTCTGGAGGTGCCAGTTTATTCCCGCCGCGCTGCCAGGCTCCCTGGCTGCACGTTTCTCAGCCTCTTAGTAATTAGCGTCTGCGCGAGCCACGTGGGTGAAGAACCTCTCTGAAGATAGCTTTGCCTTTGGCTGGAAACATCTTTAAAACAACCGGCCTGCTTTAACCACCCCAGTCTTGGCACGACGAGGACGCAACGGGGATCACTGACAAATTTGGTTTACGGTTGTATGTTTGTCTTGTTTTGTTCTGTGATAGGGATCCTGTGGCGTTTAAAGAAACAGTCGGGATGTGACACTGGCAAGGTACTTCTTTGACTTGCACACTCATGCTGTTAGTGATTGTGCTGGCTAAGCATGTTTGCAGCCACAGAGAACGCTTCGTGTGTCAACCTCTTTTCCGGGTGTTAGAGCGTAGAGAACTGGAGGTGGACAGGCCTTAAAGGCACCATAGTGTCACCGCATTTGGAGTCATTAAGTATTAGGGAACAAACGCAACCACGCTAGGTTCGCGGGACACTGCAGCTCCGAGGTTAAAGAGAGCCCTGACAATGCTTGAATGCAGGGAGAACCCGCGTTGGAATGCTGGAGCCATGTAACATTTAGAGCCCAAGCCAAGATTCCAGGTGGTGCTTTGGCCGTTTAGGTCAAGGGATTAGGACGGGGGATGGACTAAGAACCACAAATCCATCGATGTGAAATTTGCAACACTGAGTAGAGTGAGGTATGGTGTATATCTGATCTACTGGTTATATATTTCATAAATGATATTTTGTGCAGGATTTTTTGTTTTAACAGGACTGCTGCAAAGTCCTGCACACAGTTCTCATAGAACGTTGATGGGCTTAACAAATAACTTCAGTCACATTCAGCCACATTCATTCAACAAATACCTTTGAGAGCCTGCTCTGTACCAGCCAACCACCAGAGAGGGTAGTAGGGTGATCAGGAAAGAGACAGGTGATATGAGGAATTCTTAATCTCAGGAAACAACCTGAGGGTTGCTGGAGTGGTTGGGGGGTGGGAGGGATGGGGTGGCTGGGTGATAGACACTGGGGAGGGTATGTGCTATGGTGAGCGCTGTGAATTGTGTAAGACTGTTGAATCACAGACCCGTACCTCTGAGACAAATAACACTATATGTTAAAAAAAAAGAAGAAGAAGAAGATAGTAGGAAGGGGAAAATGAAGGGGGCAAATTGGAGGGGCAGATGAATCAGGAGAGACTATGGACTCTGAGAAACAAACTGAGGGTTCTAGAGGGGAGGGGGTGGGGGGATGGGTTAGCCTGGTGATGGGTATTACAGAGGGCACGTATTGAATGGAGCACTGGGTGTTATATGCAAACAATGGATCATGGAACACTACATCAAAAACTAATGATATAATGTGTGGTGACTAACAACATAATAAAATAAAATTAAAAAAATTTTTTTTAAAAAGGAAAGAGGCAAGATCCATTGGCTAAGAGCACAAGCTTTGAAGTAGATCATATCTGTCCTCAACCAGTTTTTATTTAAAAAAAAAAGTTTAGGGAAGATAAAAGACATCTGGCAAACAAATATCCAAATGGTGGTTGTCATAATGGTGAGGAAGGGATGCCATAGAGAATACACAGGAGGGCACCCACCAGCTTCAGTTGACAGCAAATGCTTCCTCAAGGAGGCTTCTAAATCAAGACCCAAAGAGGAGTATGACTTAGCCAATGTGAGGAGAAAAGTCAAGAAGGAAGGCCAGAGAGGCCAGATATTTGTGTAGGGAGTATTTGAGGAGGAAGGTTGAGTTGGAGACAATGACCCCTTTACTCTAGAGTTTCTTATTCTTTTGCCCCACTAATTTTGTATGGCTCTGCTCCATTCTTTTTCCTAAGAGCCAGCTTCCTCATCATTACAACTCCCCAAAATTTCAAGTGACATATGGCCTAAGCTTGTTTTGCTGCTAAACTTGGGAAAATAGATCTTCTAGAGCCACTACCCACCACTGGTTTGCAGCTTAGTCTCTATTTTGTTAGTTCAGAATCTCATGAGAAATTTCAGTCTGCTGAGTTCAGATTATGGGTGGTTTCCAGTTGCCTCAGATCCTCCACCCCCAACCAGCCACAGGTGGGACCAGGGACAACATGTATCTTCTAAGGTCCACCCCCTTCAGCAAAATGGGATAGAGGGTTATTTAAATAAAGAAGAGAGTATGTGTAGAAGACAATGATGGGGTTATCTAGTGTCTCACCACACAAAGTGTGGTTCCCAGACCAACAAATCCGCAACACCTGGTAACTCCTTGTAACTGCAGAGCTTCAATCCTCATCCCAGATATAGTGAATCATAGTCTTCATTTTAATAAGATCCCCAGGGTACTCGTATACACATTGAAGTTGGAAAAGCACTTCTTTCATCCACTATCTATCTCTGTGCTAATGCCTCCCAAACTTATATGGATAGACTACTGCAATGTGGCAGGAGACAGATTGCTTACGAAGGCATTTTTGAAGTGAAGTAACTCATTCATTTCATTTATAATTTGTGTTTCTCCTCTTCTGTTGTCTCTCCGGTAAAGTTGTCAGAGCAGTAGCTTGACATTAAAACACTTGGAGTTTTGGAGTACCCTGATGCCTGGGGCCACACCCCAGGCCAGTTAGATCCAAATCTCTAAGACAAGGTAGCAATAGTTCTAAAAGCTCCCCCAGATATTTTCTGGTGTACAGCCAGAGAACCACTAGATTATGGACAGAGCATCAGGCTAGGTACCTGGATCTGGAGTTCCACTGCATATCCTCACTCTCCCATCTGACAAGTCAGTAGCCTAGCCTTTGGAGTCCACACACCTTGGTTTGAATCCTGACTTACCCCCTCACTAGACACATGAATTTGAACAAGTTACTTAATCCCTCTAAGCCTCAGTTTTTACTTTTGTAAATAAGATGAAATGAGCAAAACAATACTTGCCCTGTAGGGTTTTGTGAGAATTAGATAACATTTTAAACACTGGACAGACACATAGGCAACACTCTGTAAATATCATGCATCTACTAAAATGAACATAATGAAGACTTGCAAAATGAAAAAAAATGCCCATGACTTAATGTTAAAGGGTAAAAAATATAAAGTAGAATCTTTATAGTATACTCATTTAACATATGTGAACACATGTGAACCAAGACTGGGAGGAAACATGAAAAACGTAAAAACGTGAAAATCTGGCTGGCTCTGTTGGTGGAACATATGACTCTTGATCTCAGGGTCATAAGTTCGAGCCCCACGTTGGGGGTAGAGATTACTTAAAAAATGAATAAAATCTTAAAAAAAAGAAAAATATGAAAGCAGAGTTGTTATTTTTAAACCTTTCTCTCTTTTCTGATACAGTTTTTCAGTTTCATGCCTTTGCCAGAAGACCGGAAAACTGGCAATAATGCTTTTGTACTTCCTTAATTGCTTTTCTTTCTCTTTTTTTTTGCCTCTTCATATATGTTCACTGGCATCATGTGATCCTTCGATAGCCAAGGGCAACAGTTGTCAGAAACCAAAACTAGAGGTCAGGAGAGGGTGAGGACGGAAGCAGTGTTCACAGTCCAAGGGTAAGAACAGATTTAAAGGAAAAATTCCTATTCCAACACCTGTTCAGTGCAGTGGCTTGCAAAAGGAATAAAGCCGTTATACACACAACCTTTGCTGGGGAATAGAAGAATATTAATAGCTTCACTTAGGTAGGATCACAGAGCAGAATTTTGAAGAAGTATGCTTCTCCTTGATCCCAGAGCTCAAAAATGAGAGGAGTGCACTCCAGGTAATTTGTGCCTGAGTCTTATCGAAACTTATTGAACTTACATCTCTCTCTTTTTATTTAAGATTTTGTTTATTTATTTGAGAGAAAGAGAGAGCACAGGCAAGAGAGAAGCAGAGGGAGAGAGACAAGTAGGCTCTGCCCTGAGTGTGCAGCCCGCCACGGGGCAGGATCCCACAACCCCGAGATCATGACCTGAGCAGAAATCAAGAGTCGGAGGCTTAACCAACTGAGCCACCCAGGCGCCTCTAACCAGGAGATGTCTCTTAAATAGTGGGGGTGGGGAGAAGCACACATCTTCAGAATTCTGCTCTGAGTGCCGCCCTCACAGCCTCACTCGGTGGACACAAGAAGAAAGGTAAGTGGGAAGGAAGAAGCTAGCAGAAAGGCGGTAGCACCAATGAAAAGCAACCTGAAGCAAGAGTAAGGGAGCACGTGTCTTCCTCCATCCCGGGGCCAGGTGGCAGGAACTGCTGGGGGCCTTTGCAGGTGCACATAGTTTGAATAGTCTTGAGCTAGGAAGATTGATTCACAAATATAATGAAGTTAGGCATTGCAACAGATTGTACATATGATTCTGCATGTGCCCCCAAGGGAGATAGGCTCTGTGGACTTGCTGACAAAATTTTTTGAATCAAAGTATGCAAGATTTCTACACGTGCTGTGCAAACCAGGCAGGTGTATTGAAAGAACCAGCTTAGTCATTGGGAATCTGGTCTGGTGAGCTTAGGAAAATCAGCTTGGGCACCAGTTTCCGTACCTGTAAATGGAAAGGTTGTGTTCTACCCTGCCAGATCTAAAATACTAATAAACCCTGAGACTAATTAGAGAACCTATTTTTAAATCTACATTTTGCAATACTTTTAGATTTCCTGAAAAGTTATAAAGAGTTCCGGTGTATATTCTTCACCCAGTTTTTCCCAATGTTAACATTTTACACAACTATGGTACATTTATTTATCAAACCTGAGAAAATTAGTGTTGGTATAATACTATTACCTACAGACACTTTATTTGAAGCTCTCTACTTTAAATAAGCTGATGTGACTTTGAGCAAATCTCAGAGGCTTAGTTTTACATGTGCTAAAAAAAACATAAGGAAAATAAATTCCTCCTCAGGGTTGTTGTATGAGAATTAAATGAGATATGGTGGG